CAAGCTTGAGCATGAGAAAGGTTTCATGAGTCAAATTTGGAATTGTAGTGAAAAGCATTAACACTCATTGAGTTATTTAAATATAAAATGAGACTATAAGTAAGAAACTCTATAGATTTGCAAACCTACTGGTATATAACTGCCACATGTGTCGCAGACAAACTTAGTATGGTGCCCTATTGCGTATCGTTTCGTTTGTCTGCAACACATGTTACACTCGTACCAGCATGAACACAACAACTAAGCAGAATATTGCTTAAAGATTACAATATTACGCTCGACAAGCCATGTACAAGTAGTTTTGTATCAAATTCATCCAAATGGAATAGATAACCAAATCGGAAAAGTTCATATTTTAAATAAATTGATGAATATGGATCACTATGATATTCAAATACAAGAACTTCCAACCATACAATATTAATATTTCCGCTCTCCATGCCAGGAGTAGGAGTATCATCAAGTGATTACCACGTCGTCTGAATGGAACATTCCCCCCTTTCATAATATATAATTTTACATGTAATTAATAGTATATTCTAAATTATCAAACATTAAAACTGTATATTTCTTTGATGTTATTTCATTTACTGGCACTTGGAGGAATCTGATCTCTGGCCACTGCAGGTTGGGGATCGAGGAAATAATACACCTGCTATTACCCACTGCATGCATCGTAAGAGGAAACTTCAATGGAACACCCCATTGGAATTGGGAATTATAGATTATCACACTGAATTTTCAATGTTTGTCGTGAGAAAAAAATTACCATCGCGAGCACGTGGATAAAATCGAGAGGCCATCGCAGGTGAACTCGAAATTGTATCTACGTGCGAGTGTAATTAATCACCAATCGTTTCCGCATCGTCGCCAAAGCAATTCATGATCCATGCACATAAAAGGTTTTCCTTTTCCCGTCTCTTTCCTTCCCTCATTTATGATTTTCAGTATTGTAAAAAGATGCATCACTCAAATTAAATATGTATGGGTTTTTTTCGGTTATGGGTGTGAACGGTTAGCAATGGTATGAAGTATAAAAATACATGTTAATAGCTTGACATTAAAAGATATTTCTAGAACGTGTTGCTACCCGGCTGTTTATATTTACTTAAGCATTGAACTGTTTGTGTATGGTATTTATGATCTATTTGAATTACACAGCTTTGCAAGCAAACAACATAATGCGCGCTAAGCTGTGTCATTCAAATAGATCATAAATACCATACAAAAACATTTCAATACGTATATTTACGTTTTCTCTGCCTCTTATGTTGTTTTTTAACTTATAATTTATATTTGATATTAAAAATGCCCGCCTTATCGACAGTCCACACAATTTCGTTCAATAGTTTGAACAGCGTATTGTCGCGCGCTGATTGGCAAACAAAGTAGTACTTTGAAATTTTAACAAACACTTCAATTTTATTCCACAATTCAGTATCAATACAATTGCGTATGCTATGTATATTGGGTGATTTAAGTTTATCAATAGAACTCTGAGCTGAAAGTTAGATTTTAAATTGTTGAATAAATTTCGCGCATGGACAATACAGTGAACACCGGAAATCCGACCTTGCCTTCCACGAGGGAGTTAATTTTGGAAGTTTATTCGAACATTTCTCTTTGCTCATTTTGTGAAGAATCCAAGCGTGAATTTATCTATTGATTGTATGGGAACCTGACAACAGTCGGTAGATTCTATAGCAGCCTCGTTATTTGACCTGTCGTCAGAATTAAACTGAGGAACCGTAGATGCGTTACGCGTGAAACTGATAGCGGTTGAAGTGAGTGATCTTGCGACGGAGCACAGGTTCGTTACAAATGAATGAAATGTTTATATGTGCTGTGACTCATATCAGTAGGTCTGTAACATATGTGTCAGTAGGTCTATAGAATATGTGTATTTCAGACATTTGTAACGAACCCCTGTTGACCAGTGCAGTGTAACACACGATATTTCTGATAAATTGCATGAGCGTTAAAATTGTTTCCATTGCCGGCATTGGTGATTTCAACCGATGTGCTTTTTGTACGATATTGCAGACCTCGGTCTTGTTTTCGTTGTAATAAAAGTGTTTTTTATTTAAGTTTTTATTTTGCACCTAAATTTACAATGACATTGTCAAATCTCACAATGCCCGGCGATATTTCAGCAGCCGTCATGTTTATTTATATTGGATATTGTAGTTCCGGTCATTGTTGTGTTAATACGCTAAGAATTGTGTCTCGCGATGCGTGGTGATTAAAGTCCCATCAACGACACAGCTTTCAAAGAGGCTATATAGTGACAATACCATGCAAATGTAAATATTTTAAATTTAATCTCTGTCTCTTAGATGTTATCAGCAATCGACTTTTTTAAGTAGCTTTTCATCCCTGTATCAAATGCACTGAATTTGTATCATGTTACGTAATATCAACCGGTCCGACAATTATTTAAGGATTGACCTTCATTTTGACTGCGTATACGGTAGTATGAACGCAGTTGGCAACGAACATATTCTATGGAGCGTGTCATCAATAGGAAACAATGGTCTCCAAGGAATCTCACTGCGTATACGGTAATGTATACGCAGTCACGGTTAACACAGCTTCTATGGGAGCGAATGTAAATATCAGTTTTATAATGGGTGTCATGTTGTGCGATCCTAGTCATGCAATACAGAAATGTTTCACATAAGATTAATGGTAATTTGAAACCAGCCTGCTTTTATTCCTAACCCTTGGAGGCAGGATGGACAAATCTTACACCAAAAAATAATAGTTTCCTACCTCGAATCAAGTTAAGATGATTAAATGTTTTAGAAAACTATTTAAACTTTTATTCGACCTCTTATCCCGTCCGGGTCACAGGCGCAGGATATTTAACCCTATTATGAGACTAATAGCATCTTTCACCCCCTTGGGGGTGAGATTGGAGTACCTCAACCCGAGGGGGATGATTCTTAAGTTGCCAAACACGAGGCTTTGCCGAGTGTTTGGCAACTTAAGAATCTTTTCCCGAGGGTTGAGATTCCCCTATAAACGCATTGCATATGTAGGGAAGCTGTTAGTTTTGTTGACATGATAGAAATAGATTGATTACATTTAATTTTCCGTAATTCTTAATAACCAAATTATTAGTCACAAATTATTGAAGTAAGATTATCCCTGAATCTAGATCGTCAAACAGAAAGTAAGTCCAAATGTCAAATGTTCTCTCGGAGTAAGCGCATGGTTTCTCACAATCTAACCTGAAAACCATTTACATTTGTATGAAGATTTCTTATTTAGAAACAAACCTCCCAATTTGCTGTGGTACTTTCTCGAAAATATTGGATACATAGCGCGCGATAGTCGACTACTTCATAACTGTTGTAATTTTGCGGGGCTAGTATTTCGCGGTTTTTCACTAATTAGAACTTGTTCGTGAGTAAAAAATAATTCCGCAACATTGCAAGCTAAAACATCTCGCGAATATTGCCAAACATACTGTATTTAAAAAACAGTAATGATAATAACGAATAAAAAAATTGGCAGTACCTAACGCTGTCCTTTTTAAATTGTCTCCTTTTTGTATGGTAATATTCATGATATGCCATCGAAACAGAAGCACACTTACAGAAAATGTATTTGCAACAATCACATGACTCCCTATGGATACAAAATACACGCACGATCACAACAGTCAACATGTTTTGGACGAAGAGCAAAGTTGACAAAGCATTACTTTACAATGCAAATGTGTGTTGATGTTCCGGCAAGATTTTTTTTTACACATGTTAGATTTGGTTTCCTTATTCAGTTAAAATCCATGGTTTGACATCAACATTCCTTATAAGAGAAGACATCAGCTGTTTATATAGACTTATTCTGAATATACTAATTTATTAAACCTGCATTTTTAATGTTTACCTGCTAACATTATGTGTGTGTGTGTGTGTGTGTGTGTGTGCGTGTGTGTGTGTGTGTGTGTGTGTGTGTGTGTGTGTGTGTTATTGTACCAAGTAATAGTTTTAGAATGTTTAGTCCTGTGGCATACTGTTTTTACAGGCATTTACGATTCTACCTGTTAACGAAAACTTAACATTCATAACAGTTAAAACAGAAACATTATATAAATATAAACTTTATTTGTTATAACTTTTTTTTTCTATTTCCATTCAGTTTATTGTTTGAAAACTACTGTATTATAAATCTATGCTAAACATATATTTCTAGTACTTTTCGTAGGTTATTTAGTCTTTTTTCTCCTAGAAACAAGAACGGCAATGAAACAATGCTGAGATCTATAAAAATATCCTGATGGCGACAATCCCTTTTATTTTCATTTCAACTACAAACTATTGGATATCCGTGCAGGTTCGGAAAGAATATGCTTAATGTACCCCAAGAATATAGTAAGAGGCTCCTAAAGTGGGAGTTTCGGCAGCACCAGGGTTCTCTACAATGTCGTTTACTAGTGAGCATCGGGGGAGAGGAAGACACAGAACTGCTGTCCCCATTGCAAGACTTCGTATCTATATTTCTATAACTGTTTAGGTGGTACCTCCCTAGGCACCCGTCTTCACATGACCTTAGCTACAGTGAATATGTAAAAAACAAAATATCCATTGCAGTAGAGACACACAGCTTATCATAACGCTACGATAAAACGACGATATGCGATTACGTCACCCAATGGAATGTTTCGACTTAAAGTTATTTTGACTAGAAATCACCTGACATTTCCGAGCGTGCAATAAACTAGATTATGAGTATACTTTCCAACTTCATAAGATTTTACTCGCATATCAAAAAAGTCGGTTAAGATATTTTGCAAATCCGTTGATATCAACCAGGTCTATCAGTCAGTGTGTAATATATGTAGTTGTCTGTTTAAACATTTATTTTATTGCTGTTATAGATGTCGTCCATTTGTTTATTTATTTATTTAGAACTTTTACAGATGTCCATTTATTTATATTGTTATTGCTGTTTCAGATGTCGTCATTTTATCTTTTTATTTATTACTGTTACAGATGCTGTACGTTACGTACAAAAGGTCACCCGAAAACCAGATGTGTATGAGAACCACCCTGCTCCGGTAAAGGTGAATATCATGTTTTCCGTTTTCAAAGGAACAACACCATCTTGCTGTCTTGATGGCTTCTGTTCCCGTATTAATCTTTTTAATAACTATAAAAATGGAAACTTTCGCGTGGAAAAACTCGTCTTGTAAGTGATTCTTGAAACTGATCGCGCAGTGGAAATGTTCGCGTTAAATAACTCAACGCGAAAACTCGAGGATTTCCACGCCGCGATAACTTCTTCTTTTACAGTAGATATAAACCCAGAATTAAGAATCCCTGTCCAACTGCACTGTGGTGGTTCTTAAATGCAGTTACCTCCCCTTAATTTTGTTTTGGATATAACTGTAGCACAGTTTGGCAAGGACTGACACTTCCGTCAAACATGCAGGTCAGTCGAAAAGAGCATTAGTATAACAATCTGATGTCAAGAGTTCGAATCCCGGTTTGGCAACGTTCAGCACACTGCTGTTCATTATATTTTGTTCATTTGTTCTTTATTCTTTCTATATTAAAGCTCCCTAAGGTATGGTGTTCTTTATTATCTCTATATTAAAGCTCCCTCAGGTATGGTGTTCTTTATTTTCTATATATTTAAGCTCCCTAAGGTATGGTTTTCTTTATTCTTTCTATATTAATTAACGCTCCCTAAGGTATGGTGTTCTTTATTATCTCTATATTAAAGCTCCCTAAGGTATGGTGTTCTTTATTTTCTCTATATTTAAGCTCCCTAAGGTATGGTGTTCTTTATTCTTTCTATATTAATTAAAGCTCCCTAAGGTATGGTGTTCTTTATTCTTTCTATATTAATTAAAGCTCCCTAAGGTATGGTGTTCTTTATGCTTTCTATATTAAAGCTCTCTAAGGTATGGTGTTCTTTATTCTCTCTATATTTAAGCTCCCTAAGGTATGGTTTTCTTTATTCTTTCTATATTAATTAAAGCTCCCTAAGGTTTGGTGTTCTTTATTCTTTCTATATTAATTAAAGCTCCCTAAGGTTTGGTGTTCTTTATTCTTTCTATATTAAAGCTCTCTAAGGTATGGTGTTCTTTATTCTCTCTATATTTAAGCTCCCTAAGGTATGGTGTTCTTTATTCTTTCTATATTAATTAAAGCTCCCTAAGGTTTGGTGTTCTTTATTCTTTCTATATTAATTAAAGCTCCCTAAGGTTTGGTGTTCTTTATTCTTTCTATATTAATTAAAGCTCCCTAAGGTATGGTGTTCTTTATTTTCTCTATAATAAAGCTCCCTAAGGTATGGTGTTCTTTTCAGAAATGATTTACCAAAGCTTTAATCATACAGGGATAAAAAAAAAAAACAGTTCTGCCATGCAAAGTGACTTTTTTTGGCAGTGGTAAAGGAATCCTTAAATACACCACTGTCTCCTCTTTAACGGCTTTATCTTAGCTCTCTAACTTATTTTGGCAAAAGATCTTCAATTCAATTTTTAACTTCAATTTCAGGACAGTTTATGTTTAAGCTAAGTCTTACTCGGAATAAAATTCATCAGTTTGGTATGAGTTATGCTTAGTTTGTTTTGAACACAAACAAAAATTGTAAACCTATTTAGCAAGCTTTCGAAAACGTTTGTTTCCTTTGTAACGCAAAGATTGCAAATGACCGGGTAGCTCGACTCTTAACCGCTAAAACAACAACTCACTAAACCATAATGTGTCGAATTAGTAAAGTCACCTATCAAAAATCATATAGACATTTAACCCAATTGCACCCAAGCTTGCAAAATAAGTTATCAACTCCTCATTGTGTTTAAAACAATCTTAGCCTTTCTTAGTCATATTGTTAGTATGTCAACTGTAAGACAAACATATCTACAGACGGTATCTCCCTTACTCTGCCTCCTCTACTACGTAGCCAGTCAAAATAATTAAGATTAAACGTATTGCAATGTGACCGATAAGAAGATTCCACAATACATACACTGTAATATCTAACTTCTGTTTACTTATTTACTTACAGGTTTATTTACTTGTTTACATACAGATATATTTGCTTATTTACTGTTTGTATATCATATGACAACATTCCTTTCACAGTCAGAAAAACAACAGAGAGAACAAATTAGCTTACGATCCACAGCGCGTATAATGATCAATTATAGACTTTTGGTGAGATGAGTATGTGGTTATGTGACCGACACGAAAACGAGATTAATAACTGTATAACTTTTTATGTGCATTAAACCACATATTTAGCGATATAACAGCTCTTAATCATAATGAAATGAGTAGTTGGCAGAGAGCATTGCGACTTTACAATTAAAGTTTGTCATGAAGTCGATGTCAATAGTTGTATAATTTCTCAGGTCTATTAAACCACATGATTACTGAAATAAGAGTTCTTAATGAAATGAAATATTGCGCAGAGAGCTTTTGTGATTTTACAATTAAAGTGACATCATCAATATTACATTAATCAGCTGTTTCTTAAATAAGGTATCACAAATCAACCTTCACATGATTATGATCCCAAAATCAGGAGATAGGCTTTACTTTTGTAATCTAATAGTAAACGATGAAGACATATATTACGATTTATGATCAAGTACTAGCTGCGGGATTTCCGTGTTTCTAAACTAATAACATCTATACTTAAGGATGTACACCTCTGAGAAGTCAAACATTTCCTGTATTAAACTTTTTTTCTTATATGGATTTTTGGAAAAAGGAGTTAATGGCATAGTAAAAAATGCCAAAAAAACTATATGTCGGTGTGTTCGTTTTTGTGCTATGATCGGTCAAAGATACCAATTTAACACAACATGTGATTTTAGGTGATTTTTTGGGTTTTGGCCATTTGCGGAACAAATTCATACAATTTCTTCCAAGTGTGTTATCAGATATGTATGAATGTTTGTAGAANGGTCGGTGTGCTTCTTTTTTTGTCCCAATATCATTTGTGTTATTTTTTACCTTTTTCGTGGTCAAAAATCAAAAGTGCTTCAGTTCCACTAAATATGTAAAAAAAATTATCAATAATGTATAATTTTCCAGTTTGTTGCATATTATTTTTATCATATTAAACATTATTAAGTTGTACAGCAAAATTGAACCTGCTATAATTAAAAATGGCGACACAATGACAACTTATGTGATCAATCTAGTGTCAAAAAAGGTGAATTTTTTGCCTTTTTTGAAGGCCAAGAAAGGCACATTAATACTCATTTTCAAAATAACCGCCGAATTGGGTTTTTTTTAAATTCTTGTAAAAATAAGTTCTACAAACAACAGACATCTAGATTTTTGACATATTTTTCAGATGCGTGTTTGCTAATAAACTTGATCATAATTTGTTAAAGATTACAAAAACCCGTTACACCAGATCAAAACGAGACTTGAACGTGATTGAAACCTCAGAAGAGTACATCCTTAAAACATTCTTATAGTTTTAACCAATTAGAGAAAGTTTTGTCTATCTCTGATTTCTTTAATTTAGAAATGGTGTTTCGGTGTTTTTTAAACGACCCAAATCGACACATGTCAAATTATAAGACGTTTCGATATGGTCCCATATACAGTTAAATATAGCTACTTTGTACATATACCTGAACCATAGTTTTCCCTACCCAGGGCATAGATATAACCCGCCAAGGTGTTAAAATCCCGGTGAAAGGGAGCTATTGACCAAAACGAATGCAAATAACAAATACTTAACCCCACTTGTGTTTTCATAAGTCACACGTTATCACATACATGAATCGTCTCGAAGCGGGCATGGACGCTAAGCGCAGACAAGCCACGGGATGTTTTCCGATATTTCTGGTATTTTCTGGTAGCGTAGAGACAAATAAAGGAGCACAACAGTTATACAATTAACAATGATGTATATGATGCAAATGATTTTTTTCATGCGATCTGAAGATATTAATAAAAAATGACGACAAAGTACCGGTACAAAATCATTTACAAAGAAAGAAGAAGAGATAGCTATTAAAGTATGACATATACGATGATGAAACGGACGCTACTGGCATATGAAGATGATACTGGGATAACCATATAATGGTCATATGTCTAAATGTAGTCATTACGATGTAATTGACTGAAATGTTTTTTCGTCTGTGTACGGCAAATAGTTGTTGATACATTTTCAAGTGTACGGCGACTAGCATGTTAACAGTACGGCGAATAGCTATATACTAACATAACCTTGTTAAGAGCGAGCATTTGTACCATTGGAGTAACATACCAATGATGTTGCTTTGTAACACTTTTGAATGATATCGTAAAAGGAAGGAGTTAAGAATGTCGAAAGTCTAATGAATGTCGAGTTAAATAATTATAAGGAGTACCCATTTTTCACATGTTATAACACAACCTAAGCTGTGACCATGACAATAGCGGTGGATAGTTAGAACTTTAGCTGTGACTTTGGCAATAGCGATGGAGAGTTGGACCTTAAGCTGTGACCTTGACAATAGCGATGGAGAGTTGGAACTTTAGCTGTGACCATGGCAATAGCAATGGAGTGTTGGAACTTTAGCTGTGACCTTGAATATACCGGTGGGGAGTTGGAACTTTAGCTGTGACCTTGGCAATAGCAATGGAGTGTTGGAACCTTAGCTGTGACCTTGACAATAACGATGGAGAGTTGGAACTAAGGCAGAAGGTGACATACTCTTTCCCTGTCATAACGTTAAAATACAAGGGGGAGGGGTTACACAAGAAATGTTAAGGGTGATGTAGAGAAAATCTGCACTAATACATAGATTTGCAAAGAAATACACGATAGTTAAGTTGACATATCCTCAATTTATTCACAGCTATCTATAAACAGCAAGTGGTTAAGGCAATACAGACGACTGAAAGTGTAGAATATGTATACCTTTAACAGGCAATGGGAAAAGTCTGTTTCATTCTTACTCAAGATTTCAAAGTCTATCCTAACTTTATTTTCATCAACTTTAAATAGGCACTTTTGAATTATGATCTGAAACTTTGTTTTATAATTGGTACTTAAACAAAACATTTTGCAACCCTAATATTTTGAGGGCTGAAAAACAGA